ATAAAGTGTGATTGGCGAAGAATGACTAACCTGTTCTTGAAGAGGAGACAACCATTGCGGAGCTTGTAGTGAAGGTGGCTGTTGGAATCAAGGCGCAAGTCCTGAATAATGGTCTGGAGATTCAGATCTCGCTGTGCTTCAACATCCAACTCTTTGTACTTTGAAAACTGGACAGTGGTAAGGGTTGAGAGTTCCCTTTCTGCCTCTCTTCTTGATAAGGCGTCAACCACCTTGTTAGAGTTTTTCGGATAGTAATGGATCTCAAACGAATACCCCATCAATTTTGAAATCCACTTGTGCTGTTTCCATGTTTTTACCCACTGATCTGTCAAAAATTGTAAGCTTCGCTGGTCCGTTTTGATGGTAAACTTGCGGCCAAGAAGATAATGACTCCATTTGTGGACGACAAAGACAATGGCCATAAGTTCGCGCTTGTATACGGACTTTACTTTAGATTGAGCTGAAAAGGCCTTACTGATAAAGGTAATTGGCTTTGAATTTTTTGGATTAACATTGCTCTCATCCCATAGCCGGAAGCATTAGTTTGAATCTCAAATGGAGAGTCGAAATTGGGCACCATGAGAACAGGAATAGTGGTCACAACAACCTTGAAATTGTCAAAAGCTCTTTATGCTTCCTCATTCCACCCAAAAGAATCTTTTTTCAATAATTGGGTTAGGGGTTGAGCTATCACACCATATCCCTTTACAAAGCGGCGATAATACCCCGTAAGGCCCAAAAATCCCCGTAAGTTTTTCACATTTTGTGGAACTGGCCAAGAGATCATCGACTATATCTTTTGGGGGTCTGCCTCCACACTTTTGGCTAATATTAGATGACCTAGGTATTCCAATTTTTGTTTGGCAAATGAACATTTCTTTCTATTAACCACCAAGGAGTTTTCTTGAAGGATTCAGAAGGTTTGCCACAAGTGCTACAAGTGGGTGGTGAAATCAGAGCTATAAATAAGTATGTCGTCAAAGAAAACGAGGATGAATTTCCTTGACAGCGGCTTGAAAATTGTGTTAATGAGGGCTTGGAAAGTTGACAGGGCATTAGTCAAGTCAAACAGCATGACCAAGAACTCTTAGTGTCCCTCGTGAGTTCTAAAGGCTGTCTTGGGCATGTCTTTCTCTTTAACTCTAATCTGGTGGTAACCTGATTTCAAATCCAATTTAGAGAAGACCATAGCCCTGGCTAATTCATCTAAAAATTCTTCAATGGTTGGTATGAGAAACTTGTTAGGGATAGTAAGGTTGTTTAATGCCCTATAATCAACATAGAACGTCTAGCTTCCATCTTTCTTTTTTACCAACAACACAGGACTGGCAAACGGGCTAGTGCTAAGTTGTATGATGCTGGCAGTCAACATTTCCTCAACCAGTTTTTCAATCTCATTTTTTTGGTGGTAGGGGTATTTATAGGGTTGAATGTTTGGGGTTTTGGCTCCTACTTGGAGCACAATGGCAAGGTCATGTTGTCTCTGTGGAGGTAGCTTAGTGGATTGATCAAAAATGGTTTGGAACTCCTACATTACTTCTACCACAACTGGGTCAAATTTTTCCTCCCCTGGTGTTCCCTTATTCTTAATGGAATTAAGCTCTACCAAATACCCAATATCCTTAAATTGTAATGTCTTAATCATGGACTTCAAAGACACTCCAGTCTTAATCAATGAAGGATCCCCTCTGAGCACCATTCTCTTTCCTTCCCTGTCGAACTCCATAGTCAATTTTCCCCAATTCGAACACACATCACCCAGGGAGCTCAACCATGTAATACCCAACACCACATCAGCATTTCCCAACTTAAACGGACAAAAATCTTGTTGTATTTCTACCCCTTGAATCATCAATTTAACTCCCTGGCAAATACCCTCCCCTTTAATCCTAACCCCATTCCCCACAATTACCCCAAAAGCTTTAGACCCATCCACCGTGATTCCTAGCTCCTTCACCAACTCTTGCGAGATAAAGTTGTGGGAAGCCCCACTGTCCACCAATGCAACCACATCCTCCCCTCCAATTTGCCCCTTAAGCTTCATGGTTTGGTCAGAAGTAATTCCCACTATTGAATTTATAGATAGAGCTAAGGGCTTACTTTCCTCAGGAGTCTCTACTTCAGCTTCGACTTCCAATTCTCCTCCATCAGTCTCATCACCATCCAGGACCAATAGGATTTGTAACGACTTGCTCTTGCACCGATGGTTTGGGCCAAATTTTTCATCACATCGGAAGCACAAACCTTTCTCCCTTTTATACAGCAGATCAGCCTCTGTTAGTCGTCGGAATCCATCCCTTCTGGCTGGCATCATCATCCCTTCCATCGTTTTCCTCCTCTTTCCCAGTTCCAACTTTGGTTGCACAGATTTTGCTCCCCTTAGTTGTTGAATTCCACCAACTTGGGCAAGTGAGTTCCGGGTTGGATGAGACTTGGGTATAGGACTTGGGTCAACCTATTTGGGCCCTAGATAACCTGGGCTTCATTTGATCTAAAACCCAATTTCTCTCTTCAGTGCGATGGGCTTGGTCTATTAAATCAAAAAGGTTTTTGGGCTTGCTCACTCAATCCTACTTCGGCCGACTGATCTTCCTTCATCCCATTAGCAAATATGCCCATGAGAAGCTCTTCTCCTACCTCGCGTAAGGGTGCTAATAATTCTTCAAATTGCTCTCCATACTCAGTCACCGTTCTAGTCTGTTTTAGAGCCACCAAGGCTTTGTAGGCGAACCCCTTGTACGACGGTCGGAAGTGCTCAACTAACGCCGACTTGAAGGCACTCCAAGATAAGATCGGCGATCGTGTCTTGACCCACTGGTACCAATTCAGAGCACGCCCTTCCATGCACACAGCGGCAGCATCCACTTTCTCCTTTTCCTCAAAATGGTTCATCTGGAAATACCGCTCGGCCCGAAATGTCCACCCACTTGGATCTTCCCCGTTGAAAACTGGTAATTCCAACTTCTTCACCTTCCTATCTTCCTTGCTATTTTCAATTACCTTTAACCCCTCTCAACTATTGCTGCCTTCCTCGTTGTTTGACATGTTCCCTGTATGGGTTATGTCCCTCTCTCGATTTCTAGTTTTTTCTTTCTCATCCTTCAACCTCATCCACTCTTTGAGTTCCAGGAGATACTCTTTGACACTTCCTAAGTCCTCCCTCATTAACTCCATTTCCTTTTCCATGCTTCCCATTTCTTTTTCCAGCCCATCCACTCTATTTTCCATTTTAGATTTAACCACACCCCAACCTGGCTCTGATACCAATTTGTTGGGAATAAACCAAAAACAACCCAACAAAACAATCCAATAATCCTCACACAAATAAGAGTATCCAGAATTGATTGAATGTATTTTGATATATTGCTCAACCAAACACAATTGACAAGTATTTAAGATAGATGATAATAAAGAAAACAATGATATAAAAGATGATAAAGGAAACAACAAAACCCAGGCTGCTAGCAATTCGAGGAGCTAGCGACCTCCCAAGAATTTCTAAAATTTACTAATGATTTTTACATGGTTTTTCCCCTCCTATGTACTAGAATGAAGTCACACTCTCAATGCCCCTTTTTTTTAGAGTCCACGTGGCAGATTCCCTTTTAACTAATTCCCCACTCAATTCTTCTTTCTGCCCCTCCCTTTCTTCTTGTTGTAAATCTGGGTAATTTGGGTTAGAGGAGGCTTATCAGACCGACGATGGGGTATAGGGTGGTGGTTAACGACATGGTTGGATAAGGGAAAGGGAGGGGAGGCGGTGATTCACTTTAGGCTACTGGGTTTTTGTGAGAAGGCTATTGGTTTTTACGATTTGGCTAGGTTTTTTCGATTTGAATGGAGTAGGCGGTTTGGTTTTTGTGATTTGGTTGATTTAGGGATTTGAATGGAGAAGGTTGTTGGGTTTTTGAGAGGAGTCTTCTAGTTTTTGTGATTTGAATGTAGTAGGCTATTGTTTGTTTTATTGTGAAGGAGTTGGGTTATGAGGAAGAAGAAGATGATGAAACAACCACCAATTTCATTGTTTGTTTTATTTCAGGATTTATCAATTTTGAAGGGTTGAATCATGCTGACGTTAGCACCGATCTGACCCACCGATTGAACCACCCAACCCAGGACCCAGTCCCTTGGTCAGGTTTCACCCGGGGTTGGTTTTAGCAAAATAATGAAGGAAAACCAATTTTGGACATATATTATTTTAAGAAATAGAAGAAAATAAAGTAATATTTTCTTTAGCATTATGAAGTTACATGGAATGATGGAAGTCCTTGGACAATTTATATGCCGAAGATGGGTACCCACAAATTTTCAACAAGTATACCATCCATAACCTTACTTTGTAGAATGTTGTCCTTGTCAAAATAACGTATGTTGCATTATGCTTAATATATCTTAAATGCTGCCTTTTATTGTATAAATAGAAATGCATGTGTCGTACATAGTATTTAATATGGGCAAGAATCATAATGTTAATTAGTTAAAGAGTTTTGACTCGTCAAAGAACATAACCATTGCAATTCAAATGTATTTGTATATCAAGGATCATCGACTCTCTAAGAGATAGTCGATAAATAAATTTCAGCCTATAAAATAACAAATAATGGTAAAAATAAATGTTGAGAGGCAATATGAAAACATACGGAAACATTCCTGCTTTTACTAAAGTTGAGTGAGACACAAGCCCACCACCAGAATTAGAAGCCGAAGTCTTCATTCCAGTTCCAAGTGGAATGATCCTCCCTTTCGATTAATAATCATCAAAAGGACCATACACATCCGGAACGGAAGAATTCAATCTGCTAGCATGAGACTGGTACTGTTCAATGACTAATTTGCGACTCGCCATCCGACCATTTTCTCTCTTCTTAAGCAGTAAATTGAAAGTCCACATTAGAACACAAGGTGAAAACAAAATCTTATTAATCACACATTCATCCATATCTTTAATACTTCTACATTAATTGTCTGATAAAACAAATAAATAAAAGGTTAAAAGGCAAGTCACATGAAAAGTGGACTCTGCTGCCATCTCACGCTACTCATTAGTAATTTAAGATATTGTCTATAGACATGTACAGCGATAATCTCCATGTAGGGGAGAACAATTAACATGAACTAAAAAGAGAACAACTGACTCACCTCTGCCATATTATGAATTGACAGAAAGGTCTTAAGGCTCACTAATGGCTGCCATCACTTTCATGTTCCATCTCCTCTGCATCCTCAAAGCGTTGATCATTGATTTGAAGCTGCAATGTATATGAATGTGAAAACTGAAGGGAAATGTTGTTCAAGGTGTAAAAGGAGCCAATACAAACTTCAACTGAGCACTAAACCAAACTAAGGTCTAAAACAAATTTCCAACCAAAACAAAAAATTGTGAAGCCTTATAAACAATAAATCTCATCAACATTCATCAAAATATGATTCAATGTTCATATATTGCACATAAAAATATTTAAATACAAACAACATGCCCTAAGGTAGATTCTGAAAGAGGCCCAAGCGAGTGATCTCATCCCCCAAATAAATTATCCACTGTGAGATTCTAGGGACTCAACAAAACCCCCCATCAAACTAGACCCTCAATGATATATGGCGACACCAACCTTCTCATCCAAATACCTAAGTCCAAGACATGGAATACCATTTGAAACCCATATATTCAAAGGAAAAAACTAGTCTATTAGATGAAAAGACCCCATCCTTAAAAAGAATTCCCTCTGCCCCCTAAATCATCGAATATGAGAATCTTTGAAGTCAAAAAAATTATCCAATGAAAATGTTTAATGAAAGACCGTACATAGTATTTACAGAAAAACAATAATCAGTTTTTATTTTACTTATAATTATATCTCATCATTAAACTTTATCTTTTAATGAAGATGGTTAGTACTCTTTTGTTTGACTACAATTCTATGGATTTAGGGCTTCCAACTCCTAAAAAAATTCAGTGATCCTGAAATGAATTATGTAAAACTTGTTCTACCTTAATAAATTATCCTGCCAAACTCTCACTAACAAGCAAATCATTGCTCCAATCTTTAGTAACCTTTTTTTCTTCTTTTTCAAAACCTAATGAGGTAAGCTCACAGCCATCAACTAGAACAGAACTCCCACTTCTAAAAGTTCAATCTTTACCTTAAATGGACCCCCACATCCTCAGAAACAATAGCACATAACTGATTTCCCAAATAAAAACGAAATTTTCTTCTTCATTGTTCACCTATGTTGAACTACTCATTAATTTATTACAGAGATCCAACTATAAGAGAGCTCTAAAATTCCTGATCTGTTGTTACAGTACAAAATAGAACACATTCTCCAAAAAAAAGAAACTTTTGATCAGTTTTCTTGTAATCAGCCTTTCTATTTTCTATTTTCAATCTTTAATTTTTTATTTTTATAGAAGACATCAAATCATAAGTAGGCAAACTATTGTGAATAGAACTCAATGTTCATGTTAGTGACTTTTATCTTACTAGATTTTCAACATTTTTTGTTGACACTCACATTATAGATAGAGGGCTAAAAACCATATAAATCAAGATTCAAAGCAAACAACCTAAGACATTAGATTTAAAAACTCCAGGCATAAACAAGCTAGTAATATGAACATGCAAAGGCATACCTGAAGCACTGTGTTAGCAAGGTCGTGATCTCCATTTGAATGACCAATTGAGTTTGTCGGATCCTGAAAAAAATGCCATCCAGCATCTTCCCCTACTGGACATAACAATTTTTCAAGGATAATAAGTCCACATCAATACACATAAGGGACAAAATTTTTCAGAGAACATCAATGCAGTTCCATCCCATACCTGAAGCCTCATTTTCCAGCTGATCAGCACTAAAAATCCAATTGTGCCCTTCTGATTCATCTAATGAAGGCATAAGAAAATATAGGAAATCAATATGCAACTAAAATGCAAACATAGCAATACAGAATCAAGTAAATAAATTTACATCAGTCCATTCAAATATATATAGGAGAATAAAACTCACCTTCAATAGGTTCAGGATTGAGCTCAGCACACTCACAGAATATCTCAAACAGGGTATCCACTACACACATTTAGTCAAAGAAATGTTAGAATTTACCATCAAATCAACGGCTACACAACCAGAGTATTTAAAAACAGCAGCAAGAAGAGCATAAAGACAATCAATCTTTCATTGAAAAGATTGAACAATTACATAAGCTAGCATCAGAAGGAACAAGTCTCATCTCCGTGACTTTCGATAAGTCTAAAACTTCACCCGATTCTGAATCCTCATCATCCTCATCTTCATTAAGAGCTTCAGTCTCAATCTATATATAAATAACAGCAGGTATCAGAGATATACAACGAAACAATTTGATGTAAGAATTTTGATAAAGTCAGTTGAGCACTCCCAACCTGAGTGTAAATACAAGGAGATGTATAGGCCTCTGGATCCCTGGATACGGCGTGAAGGGACAGAGACAAGAAATCAACAGCATAACCTTTTGTTTTATCCACGTCACTCAACCATATCACTTGCCTACAGAAACCCCCCCACAATCAACCAATCAAAAGTAAAATCTCGCAACAATATAGAAAATTCTAAATTAATTGCTTTGAACTAAAACAACTGAACGAACTTAAAAGTTGTAACAATTTAGGTTAAAAGGAAAAGCAAGAGAGAGTACTTGGAGGTGATGTAGAGAGTGCCAGGGGAGTCCGGAGGACGATTTCCAAGGACGATGGAGACAGAAGGCTGGACGTGCATGAGTTCCTCGCCATTGTCGGTGTCGAGAATTGGCTGTCCAGCACCGTCGCCGGTTCTCTGGCTGAATTGTCTAAGCCCTAAAACCATTTTCTCTAAAACCCTAGTGTCACTTAGCTTCTGTTGGCTTCACCTTTTTTTATTCTTTTTAAGGGTTTTTCTCCAAGCAGCTAGCCCTGCGCTTCAGCTGTTGAAAGCCCATTCAGAATAAATTTTATACCACCTCAAGTCGAAACTTCTGCTACTTAAAATTAACGTACACTTTAGAGATGTTTCGCGAAATTCAGAGCTTTAATTAATATATACTTAATTTTTTTATTTTTATGTTTTTGGTAATTTACTTTTCAGAAGAAAAATCATATTGGTTGTAATTATATATAATCATGTTAAATTCGAATATCATAATTTAATTTAAGTTCACAGTTTTATCTAGGAATATTATCGATTTAGGTACAAAATTATTATAAAATGATATTAAAAGACACAAGTTTTGAATTCTTAAAAAGGAGCCCAATAATCATTTTTATGAATTCTTAAAAATCAAGAAAGTTTGTCTCTTGTTCAAATGCTCTCCCTTGGCTTCGTTTCCAGCTTGATGATTTATAAAGCATGTGCATCTTGGCTCCTCCAACTTCTCTAACTGTGTTGAAATTATGATGAAGATGAAGAGGTTCGGGTTAATGGTGTTATTTTGGGTAATGGAGACTGCTCGATTTGTGACTGTTTTAGTGAGGGAGATTTTGACGTGGGTTGTGGCCATTGTGGTGTGAGATTGTTGAACGGCTGAGAATTTAGTTGTGCAGCGTGGAGTGGCCAGATTGCTGACCAGCCGGCCTGCCACCAATCTAACCAGGCCAAGCCATGATTCTAGCCAGCGATATAGCCACCGGTGATGGCTGGGTTTTATGAAGATTTATTAAACTTTCATGTGACTGTTCATCTGCCACTCAACCCCCAAAGGGCTCAAATGCGTATGAATTTCGGACATTGCAGACATAATCCCATTAATCCTAAGATTGTTAACTTTCTTTTTTAATCCAATCTATGAATGGTGATTAATAATGAGGAAACAATAAAAGGATCTTTTGCCCAAAAGGTTAATCCAAAACACAAATGCTCAAAAAAGAAGCAAACATTCAGCAACAGAACAAGTTATAAATTTCTCTTCCAAGTTCTCCCAAACAAAACAAAACAAAATCTTTTAAAATCTATGAATAAAGGTCTTACATCTGGAATATACTAGACAATGAAAACATCATTCTTGCTCATAAAGAGTATTGCTGCCACCCCAAGATGCAAAACCTAGCTTAAGCCACAAGGGTGCTGGCGGTGGTGGACTCGCTGCAAAAAGGAAGTGGAATTAACAACAAAATAATAGATTTTAAAAACAAACAATGAGCAATGCAATACAACATTATTTATTGAGAGTGAAAGATAGATCAAGAGAGAGCCTGATAATTCCGGAAAACTAAAAGTATTAGCTACTGCTGAATACAATTACTGCCACCACTACCAAAATTAGAGTACCAATGCATTGATGTGAGCAACCAACTGAATTCGTATGAAACAATTTCAACTTTTTAAGGGAAACTATTAAGTAGTTAAGACTGGATAGTAAAAAAATACTGGATGAACCAACACCTAGTTAAGACTGGATAGTAAAAAAATTCTAAAAAAATCCATGTCACAGTTTAACTCAATAATACAAGGAAAAGAAAAAACATTATTACATTTTCTGTTAAAGTTTCTACCTTCCCATATCAATCTTTCAAATTTCAATTTTTAAACCCCCTTGCTTACTTGATTACATGATTCAGTCTATCAACTAAAAGGTTACATGATTACATTATTTAAGGTCTAACAGCAACAAAAACAAGTTCCCAAAGCTAGCACTACACCTTCTAACATACTCTAATGCACACCAAAAGAAATATTCACACCATTTAACATGATTCACAGTCGCAAACCCATCATGCCTGCCTAAATTTTTCTAAGGAACAACAAGAACTAAATCTTAATCAAATTTGAGAACAGAAAACTTATTCCAAAGTAACATTGTTGAAACTATCAATTTCTATAATTTTCTAAAGCAGTTACAGATTTATACTCACACAAGCAAATACAAAAAGAAAACTAACACTAATAGAACAAATAAAAAAAATCACATGCTTCCAAACCATATTATTTCACATAAATTAAAAATGTGCAACAGTGGTGAAGGCTTACTATTTCCAGACAGGAGGAAGCTTCTTTGTTTTCTTGTAGTAACGAGCAAGCCTGTGGATCCTGCTTTCAACAAGAATCAAACGGAACTTGGAATCCTTGTCCTTTCTGTTCCTCTCCAAATGCTTCCGAATTGCAACAGCCTTCTTGATAAGGTGGTACAGATCCTCAGGAATTTCAGGGGCAAGTCCTACAAAAACAAAGATCAACAGTACAATCAATAAAAAAATAGTCACAACCACACGAGAATTTATACAAGTATCAAATTATTTAAAAAAAGCGCAAACTAAGAAGAATAAAAAACATACTATCAAACATCGTTAATCAATATCGCAAGCCATTAAACCTAAACATTTTCTTTAAAAAAGAAAAAAGAAAAGCTATCCCAAATATAGGGGTTGCTCGCTCAATTAAGATGCCATTTGAATCATTAAATGTGAGCCCAAAAAAACTAGTCCCCCAGTCTTCAAGCACCTCATCAGAACTTAAATCAATATAAGCATGACTATAACCAATAGTAATAATCACCATTCAAGGGACTTTTCACTTACCATGAGCCTTAAGGATACGCAAAATCTTGCTTCCAGTAACACTCTTGACCTGAGCAATACCGTGAGAGTCCCGAAGAATAACACCGATCTGAGAAGGAGTCAGACCCTTCTTTGCAAACTTGCAAATGTTATCCTCAACCTAACAAACAAAATCACATCATTTTCTTTTTTAATTTTCATCGGGAAAACAAAAAAAAAAAAAAATAAGCTAAAAGAGTACAAGGATTATTTGACTCACATCTTGGCCAGAAATCTTCAGCCAACTCGGTGGAGTTCTCTTGTAAGGCAAAGCTGAGGATGAAATACCCTTACTACAACCAAACAACACACAACAAGTGTAAAGATCAACAAACGCACACATTTACACACAAACACAGAGAGATAGAGAGTGAGAGGCATACCCGCGACTGTGCATACGACCCATGGTGACGGCAACGGAGGTGAAACTGAAGCTCTCTGTTGTGTATTATACCTCTGCTTACGAGCCGCAGCTGCAAACCCTAGCTTCCTTATGGTTGGATGTTATATTTAGGGTTTATAACTTTTTATATCGTTTGACTCTTGAATCTTCTGTTTACCCCTTTTCATTTCCTTAATTGACAAACATGTCCTCATTAGTTTGGGCTTTAGGGACACTAATTAAAGCCCAAGTGCTCCTTACTCTATCTTGGGCCTAAAGATACAGTGGCGTCCCATAAATTTCATAATGTTATTCATTTCATTTCATTTTTTTTATATATATTTTAAAATGGTTAATATTTTATTCCCTCGACTTATGCTATATTCCTCCATCATTGATATTCCAATAATAATTTTGATAATTAAATTGGAAGTTCAAAAAAATCAAAACTAGAGAAAATCCTTACAAATAATTTCAAAAACATAATACAATTAAACAACACAAAGAAAATATATAAATTAAAATAGTTAGCAATAGTTAGAAGAAAAATAACAATATATTTATATGAAAAGCAATTAAAAAGTATTAATTTTGTATTGCTTGTAACCTGATATATCTCATTGTAAATCTTCTTCCTCTTTTGAACTATCTTCTTGTCTTAAAAATAATTTGAATTTAATAAAAAAAAGTGGGTGTCAAAAGTATTTGTAAAGAATAAGAAATTAAGATTAATTTTAACAATTTAATATAAGAATGAATGTGTAATTGTAGAATTTATTAAAAAGTATGGCTTTTTTTCTTTTTTAGGACCAAGGGTGTTTGTGTTAGCTTACGCGTATCTCTACTAATCCTCTGGAACGTTATAACTACTGATCGGATAAGAGCTCAAATGACTACCCCTATTAGCAACCGAGAATAAACTCGAACACATGACCTCTTAAGTTTATAGCTAAGAGTATGGTTTTTTCTTTTTTAGGACCAACGGTATTTGGGTTAGCTTACGCGTATCTCTACTAATCTTTCAGGACGCTATAACTACCGATCGGGTAAGAGCTCCAGTGGCTACCCCTATTAGCAACCGAGAAGGAACTCGAACTCATGACCTCTTCAGTAATACAGCCAAGAGTTCCTATCGAACCACTCGGCCACCCAGATGTAGTTAAACTAGAAAAAATATGGCTTCTTTAGTCTAATGTTTACAAATAGATCCTCTCTTCTCGCAATTTGGGTTTTGTTAAAGCAAATGAATTTATTAGTTGGGTTTCACTGATTTTAATAAATTAAACTGCATCTATAAATTACGTCAGTGTAATTGTATTAGATTAATGACTTTACTTACATAAAATTCATCATTAATCCATTTGAATTTTGTTTGAAAGTGATAGTCCAACTGAAACCTATACAAACCAGTAATAACATTGGCTCCGTTTGGTTCATAATTTTGTGTTTTTGAGAAAAGTTTTTTGAAAAAAGTTAAAAAAAAAGTTGAATTGGGCGGGTATTACGATGTAAGATTTACAAAATGTAAAATACCCCCTATGTTTGTTTTTTTACAAAACACCCCTTATAATAAAACATTAAAAGTTAACAAAAACACCCCAAATCCACCCTCAAATACGGACAGCCGGCCACCACCGCCGGAGGGTGGCCGGAGTCGCCGTAACAAAAACATTAAAAATATTAAGGGGTATTTAATTGAATTAACAAATTTAGGGGGTTTAAAAAATGTTGAATAAAGTTGAATAATATTGTGAGTTTGGGGGTATTTTACTGTTTAACTTTTTTGGGAATACTAAAAGTAGTATTCCCAAAATCCAACCAAACGAAGCCATTAAATTTGGATTAAGTTGTAGCGAAACTTTTGGTTCCAAATTGATGAATACCTTATTCTCTCCAAACAAGTATGAACTTTGAAAGCTAAAAATAGTTATTAAGATGAAAACCATCCGAAGAGAATTCTGTGAAAGAAATGGAGGTTTTTATATATCGTTAAGATTAAGATTGTATCAAATACATAAAGAAAACTATAATATTACTTATGGTTGTTT